CAATGGAGCCCAAGCCCTATGTACCACACACTTTCCGTGGCTGTGTGCTGTCACAGATTGATTCCAATCAATTTCCTGCATAGCACCCTTCAGTTTCATGGAATATGGTTTGGAATTGTACCTCTTCAGGTCTGTCCACTTAGGAAGAATAAAACTTACAAGCAAGTAGCTACAAAGGTTATACCAGAGTCCCAAAAGGTAGGCAGGATTCTGGAAGTTGAAGGGATAAGTACATAGAGGACATCCCCCCCTGTGTATTCCAGATGAGAATTTAAGAGGTAGGAGCCTTCCAGGGTATGAATGGTCCATACACATAGCTTAGTGTTAGGTTTTCTAGAAAAAATGAAGAGTCCTCTAATGAAGCATCTATATGGGTGTGGAAGACACTTAATTTAAATGTTAATTTTGGGTATCTCCCAAGTTAACATCGTAAAACTGATGTCAGGACCTTCATGGTCTTGGCCTTAGGACTGCTGCCTAATAGACATGAGGAAGTGGCTGAGGATTGGGCTTCTTGTAAACAAAAAGGAACCAAAAAAAAAAAAAAACCAGAAAGAAAAAAAAGGCTATATCTAAGCTTGGACATCAGCAGCTGCGTTGGCATGTTTGACCACACTCCAAAGATGCTCCCAGAAAAGGGTTGAGCAGGAGAGATCAAGTATCTTGGACACAATGGGCTGAATGCTGTCTCTCCCAAATTCATGACCCACAGGAACCTCAAAATCTCACTTTATTTGAAAATAGGTTTTTGCAAATTCAACGAAATACGTTTAAGATGATGCTATACTGGATTAGGCTGGGTCCTAAATTCAAAGACTAGTAGGCTTACACACACACACACACACACACACACACACACAGAGAGAGAGAGAGAGAGAGAGAGAGAGAGAGAGAGAGAGAGAGCGAGCTTTGGGATGCTAGAAGTAGGAGTAGCAGTAGCCACTAGTTAAGAGTTATCAAGGATGGCCCTTAGTCAAAGAGGGATGGGGTCGTTTGACTCATTCCTCTAAAAGGGCCCTGTTCTGCTTATGCCTTAGATCAAACCCTGAGCTTCTTGAATTCCCCTTTTCAGCCAGCCACATCAGCACAAATAAGCTCCCTCAGCTAGGAACTTCTGCAGGTTGTCGCCACATCAGCACAAATAAGCTCCCTTAGCTAGGAACTTCTGCAGGTTGTCGTCTCACCTCTACAAAAGTGCCCCCCCCCAAAAAAAAAAAGTTTTATACAAGTGGATAAGGGCTTTCTGGTTCTACTCCAAAATTTATCATTTTTCTTCCTTCTTCTTTTTTTTCTAAAATACTGTAAACTGAACCCAGACCTCACACAACCTAGTCAAGTGCTCTACCATGGAGTCAAATATCCACCCTAGACTTTATGCTTAAGAAGTCAAGCCCATTTATCTCCCTATTCTGGTGTCTACCCAGTATGAAAGCTCTCCTCAGAACAAATTAGGGTAGTCACAAGTGATTGACACCCAAGGACATGCCTGGATGCACACTGGGTCTGGAAATGAGGTTCATCATACAGGTCTAGCTGGCTCAAAAGCCCTTATGCCATCTCAGGATTGGGGAAGGGGTTAACAGGCTATACTCTCTACATTCTGCCAAGTGTCAAATCTAGAAGGCTCTTCCTCATCCCAGTCTATTCAGTGATGGACACTCAATGCTTGGCAGCCTATGCAGGTTGTACTGGTGACTCCATTAACCCCTGGATGGGCTTGTCAATTGAATTCCTCTCCTAAACAAACTCAAAGATTGAAGGGATCAACAGTGAGAGAGTGGGACGAAAATAACTCTATGGGTGCAGTGGTATTAGAGGCTGGGGCAAAAACTCACCCAAAATACTAAAGGGTATTCCAGAAGAGGAAACTTCACACACACATGCACTTGCACAAGCATACACACACACACACACACACAGAGAGAGAGAGAGAGAGAGAGAGAGAGAGAGAGAGAGAGAGAGAGAGAGAGAATGATAGCAATAAGCAGTCTCTTCTTCCAGCTTCCCAAGTCATGTTACTTTGAACATTTCTATATGAACCACTTTTCCTAAGGAGACTTCAGGAATTCCTCATAGCCCTGAGACCTAAGAAAGCATCACTCAAAACCCAGAATAGCAGGTGCTGGCTCCATTGCAAGCCTCCAACAAACCCATCATTCTCCTCTTTGCTGCACAATTGCCCAGTGGGATTGAAACCCATTACTACTTTTCCACTCTCTTGTGCCAACAAAGGGGAAAGGGAAAAAGAGAAAATCAATTTCCTCGGCCATCAGTACGATAGCTTTGCTGTGCTCTGAACTCATGGGGAGGTGGCAGTGTGCACTAAATCCATGTCAGGGCTCCCCAGGAGACCCACGGTGCAGGCACTCTCAGTAATGACTACTTCCAGTTGTTTCCCAGCAGGGCATGTTGGGAGACATGATCAGGGTGACAAAAAAGAAATGCATACATCCTCCCCTGGCATGGGGCCTGTTTCCTTTGCTTCTGGAAATGTTCCAGGGTGTCAAGTGTGCTGCTTGCACGGAATGCCACAACATAAATAAATAAATAAATAAATAAATAAATAAATAAATGAATGGAAGAAGAGAAGGAAGGGGAGGATATGGAGGCCTGTCCTGTTACCTAGAATGTGTTGACAGGCAGGAAGTGGGTGAATTTTTAAAAGTCTCACTTACATTTTCTTACTGGAAGTAGGTTCATTTTGTGTCGATAAGGTGATGGGTTTATATACATTCACCAGAACTCACCAGAGTCATTTTTGGACTCATCCAGGGACCCACTAAGACTCTGGGGTGGACACAGAGCTGGTGTGGGCTCTTAGCAACATAGTGTAACCAGCTGGATGACCTGGGGCTATTCATTTGCCTAATCTACCCTCCCTCCACAGAATCCATTAGAATATAATAGCAGCCTTCCATTTTTCCATCTCCCTAAGTGATTCCCTCTGCACTCTGGTTCCTTGCAAGAACACTACAATTAATCTATCCAGCACTCCCTTACCACCTTCTGGACCACAGGGAGAGGACACCAGTCAGCAGGAAGCAAGGCACAGTGTTCCTCAGCCACAGGTAAGCCTCATCAAATCAAGAGGCACATGGCCAGCAGATACAGGCTTGCAAACCACAGGGCTCTTTTCTTAATCTTGAGGTCCAGTTAGGTGACCATTTAAATTGTATTCTATTGAAAGTCACCGGGATGTGTGTGCCTGCTCCAAACTGTATCCCTGGGGACCAAGGATCTAAGTGGCTCACACTAGACACGGCTAGAAAATGTTGTTATGGAGGACAGTAGCTGCCTTCCTCTCCCATACACACAAAAGAATGCCAGGTGCTGCAGTCTGACCAGCTTCTCAGAAACAACAAAACTCATAGAGATACTTCCAGTGACAAGGACCTCACCCCACTTCTAGCATGGAAACCCAAACCAACCTAGGACAAGCAAAGAAAATTATTCAGTAGATGTCATAGAACACCTTGGAGACCCCTCCTCTCAAAATCCTGGTGAGGGACAGCCCAGTGGCAGATTAAGCCCAGTGAGTCTTAACTTGTGGGGGTCTTTGCAACATTACTCCCTTACCCCCTTCCCACAAGTGGAACTTGTAGGTTTCTATTCTTTTCTTTCCTTTTCTGGTAGTTTGTTGTTTCTTTGTCTGTCCTCCCCTTCCTCCCTTTTAATAATTTCTTTTCTACTTTCCCGGGACTTACACAATGTCTCAACCCTATATAGGAAGTCCAGGAGCACAGTTGAAACCCACCCCTTCCTCCTTCCGCAAACTGGCTTGGTCTAAGCTCGTAGATGCCTAGGGCGGTTTCAAGAGCCATAGCCACTTGCTCAGTACAACAACCTAAGCAAACAAACGCTAGGACCAGGGCTCCTTGCAAGGGAGTATTTCAGAGCACACACCTAGGAAACAGAGTACATTCTCCAACGAGCCCAAGTTCACACAGTAATGGGAGAAGCACCGCAAATTCGCCCCAACATTACAGCCTCATTCTCCTGAGTGAACAGCCAGGCAGCTCTAGCCTCCTCCATTGCAAAGGCTTGTCCCCAGAAGCAGCCAGAGCTGAAAAGACTCCTGCACACGCTGTCTTTCCTCTTAACATTCCACGGAAAAGTTGTAGAAGAGATAGTCCCCGTGAGAGGATACCCATTGACAAACCAGATCTTAGAAATGCTTTTGAAATAGACCATTTATGATGTACAACCCACCCATGTTACATTCTGTACCCACTAGTTTCATTTCCCTATTAAAACAGGGAGGGCCAGAAAAACATCTACCCTAACCTAAACCAAATCCCCATCAGCAGGCTGCTTTGGGGACTTTTCTAACTCTGGTTCCCACTATCAGCCTTAGCCCAGCTCAGGACCGCGGAGCTGGAAAAATCCTCGGCTGAGCAGACTGGAAGGGTGGGGATGTGGATGCTTATAGTGACCTGCTCTGCTGCTTCCAGTCCTGGCTGCACCATCCAAGGCTCGGGTCACCGCGATTCCTAACCCCGCCGTGCCCCTCCCCCAGCCTACCTAAATCCCACCTCGAGTCCCGAGCCCTTAGAGAAAGCGGTGGCTTTGCCTGATCGCCCCCTCTCTCCACCGTGCCCCTGAATGGGGCTCTTCTGGGCACCGCCAGCCACATCCTCTCGGTGCACGCCCAACGCCTCGTCCCCGGGGTTGACCCCATGGGCTTCGAGCCTCTCAGGAGTTCTTTCCTAGCCTCGCCAGCTGTTCCCGCAGATCCCTCTCTTGGGGCAATGATCTTGTCCCCGCGCCGCCGCCTCCGGCGTCTCTCAGGCCGGTCCGGCCTCCACCCAGCCTGCTGCGGTCCACGTGGCTCGGCTAAGCTATATCGGGCTTGCAGGAAGCCCCAAGCAAAGGGAAAGCCTAGCTGAGGCCGGAGGGAGGGGCGGAGGGGGGCGCCCGAGCGCCAAGGGGCGGGCACTGGGCGGAGGAAGGGGAGGATCCCAGCACCGTGGAGCCCGGCACTCGGCTGGGCGCGCCGAGTCGCGGCTTGGTCCCAGCCGGCGGGCGAAAGCGGCTCCTCCCCGGACGCCCCGCCTCTCACTCCCGTTACACTCCCGGGAAGGTGTTCCAGAGGCCGCTCCCATCCTCACCCCGCCTCCCGCTTCTCCAGCGCTAACCTCTGTCGGCGGAGCCCACTATGCCAGACACTTTCGACACTTTGCAAAGACAAAGAGCCCTAGACCGGAGGGAGGAGAGAGGAGGAGGCAGAGAAGGACCGTGAGGTGTGAGCTGGCCGGGGTAAGTATCCTGGACGCATCTCCTTAGATACCCCTCTAAACCTTTTCAGTGCCCCCAAACCGGGCAACTCTGGCGTGTCTCCGGCTTTGGTGAGTGGGCACCCAGCTGATCCCTGTCCCAGTGCCCCAGGGACGGCGCCCCCTCGCGAGTTGGGGCTGGAGAAATTTTGCTTGTGTTTTTTGAGTGCTGAAGTGATCGTCCCGACTCAGGAACAGAATGGGTGGGGAAGGGTCTAGGAAGGTGTAACTGTAGAAGTGAGACCAAAGACCCTAGGCACCAAGAGGGAGACACAAGGAGAAAGATCCGTCTCCGCCACAGCCTCCACGGTGGTCTCAGGGAGAGGTTCAGGGAGGAGACTCCAGCTCTGGGGCTCCAGACTCTTTGGCGCTTACTGGAAGAGCCTCAGTGGAGTCGGCGGTTGTGGCAGCGGCTCCCGGAGCGGCCGCGGTGACATTGCACCCAGCACCGCAGTGGATCCCCGCCGGGCCACGGGTAGGAGACTCCATCGGGCTCAGATTGCTCCCACTCTCTAGAGAAGCGGCAGTCTCGGGCTGGGGCACTGTGGGGACGCTTGGAGAACGTTGGCTTTCTAGACCAAAGGTGGTGGGACAGTATCCGGATGGAGTCTCCTAATCAGCTGAGGAAAGGCGCAGACCCGGGAGGAGGCTGTTTGCCTCGGGGACACCTCTAGTACCGCCCTGCTTCGGATTTCGGGGAGAAGTTGGAGCTTAGGATAGCACAAGAAGAAGCGTTGTGCTGGAAAGTGGGTAGATTAGGGTGGGCAAAGTGAGCTCGGCGGTGGCATCTCTAAACTTGGAATCTGCCCCAAACCCGTTAGGAGCCACAGCTGCCAAGGAATACTGTGACAAAAGTTAGCAACTTGTCTGCATCTCTATGGTGTGACCTGCGCAGGGCACGGTCTGCCGCTTTGATGTGTACACGGGGTGGGAAATGGTGACACTGGACAAGGCGACCTGATTGGAGAACTGTTAGCTCGGAATCGGACCTTTGCGCAAGCAACTTTCAGCCCTCTTTGTTTTTCTACGCGTGGGTGTTTGAGCGTGACCTTGCGGGAGGCAGCGCGGCTGAACTCGAGATGGGGATTAAGTCTCCCGTTGCCTGCCTCGTAGTACAGGTTAAGACCTGGGGCGCTTCGCCTTGCCTCAACGTGGGGTCTCAAAAAGGGTGCCAGGACCTCCATATATCTGCTGGAACCTGGAGTTTCTCCAGCCTCTTGCACAAGGGTCCTAGCCGGCTTCTACAGCCAGCAAGAATTAGTGGCGCTCCATGAGAGGACGCGTGCGCGCCCAAAAGCGTGCGAGTGGATGGGAGCTGGGATGGCTCCCTAGGAGACACAGAAGCTGAATGACTCCCCAGGAGACACTAGTGACCCAGAGAACAGGAACAAGCTCACACGGTTGCCACATCAGGCATTCGCCAGACCTTCACTTGTTTATGGGTAACCCTGTCCTCTCCCAGCTTACCACGGTCTCGGGTCCGCATGCCTCCACGGACTTGTGGTGAGATGGAGCGCCCACGCCTCCCTGCTGCTGGTGAGGGGCGCTCCACAGCAGAAAACCCGCTAGGATCAGGGGACGGTCTCTGCCACTGCTTCTGGCACGTAGTTGATGTTAATACTGTGCTCACTGAAAGGGCCTCTAGGATAGAAGGCTCTGCTAGCCGGGGTCCGGATTCCCCCCGTCCCTTTCCACTATTACTACTGAATTAAAATTCACCCAGTGGCTTCCTGGAGAGCGCTGAGCACCCACCCTGCTCAACCAGTGTGCGCGGTTCTGGAAACTGCGGGCGGTGTCCCCAGGTTTTCTTTCTTGAATGATAGCCCAGAGCGCCCCCAGGTTTGAAAAAGAGGGATGCATTGCCCCCTGTCGGTTGCTTTGGAAACAACGGTTAGGCTAAGCTTTGGGAAAGAGTGACCAAAGCCTCTGGGCTGGGCCTCTGCGCCTCTGCACTTCCCTTTCCTGTCTCAAACACCAAAGCCTAGTCATTTTCTGAACTTTCGTGATTGGCTGAAAAAAAAAAAACCCTAAAGTTCCCCATCTGTGTCTCCTGTGTGTGCCTAAAATTGGGTGTAAGATGAAGAATTTCACTTTGAATGTGTGACTTAGCCTCTGAAAACCACAGTTTTCATATCTGCAAAGCGGAGCTCCAAAACGGAGTCCTGAAGAATAGATATTGCGTATAACTGTGTGTAGACGTGTACTGTGCAGAAGAGCTCACAGTATACTTGTGTGTATACATGTATGTGAACAGGAGCAGAATAAAGGAATAAAAGAATGGATAGAGGACTTCTTCCCTGTCCTTTCTGACATTTCGTCTCCCTGCCTTTTTTTGTTCAGGTCATGCTGGCCAACAAAACCACTGGCCTGGGCTTAGCAGGAGCTTTCCCACACTGTCTTTGACGAGATCTGGGGCTAGAAAACAGGAAGTGTTGATGGACAAGACCACAGAGGTTTCTTTAGGAGTGTAAGCTCCACTCTTTTGGGCTCTGTAGCAGTGAGCAGAAGCTGACCTTTTCTGAGCTATTTGTAGACAGTGCAGAGTTCAGTCTTCAGGTGCAGGCTACCACCACTCTTCCTACACTCCTTCCGGAGGTTAGGGCCTCTCAACAGTTGGCTGTCACCAACGTTAGAGGTACTTGATTCCCCCTTCCCCGTGAGGAAGTTATCTGTGGATGGGTCTGAAAGGAAAAGAGGTAATGGAGTCCTGGATCCTTAGTATGACGTTGTAACAAGTAAATCTATCTCTCTCCTCCCACCAAGCAGCCTGTCTTGTTAGAACTCTAACCTAGAAACAAGTGTCAGGCACACCTCCCTAGGAAGGAACCTCCAGATGTGTGCCTTTGATACCTACTCCTATCAATTTACCTGGCTGGAATTGCTGACTCGAGGGGGTTGTGTTTGGACAGAGCTTTACTTTGTGGAGGCCGAGCCGTAGCTTTCATCGCAAGCCCTTCCCAGCCTCCAAAAAGCAAACAGAAAAGAAAAAAAGTTAAGTCCACCAGTCAACCTTGCCCTTCCTTTTACAATGCTCTCTTATCCACAGATATTTCCTGAGATCCCAGTAAATAACCAAGACCCTGGCTATTATGAAGTGCTATGACAAAGTCCAAATTTTATATTGAGCAAAGCAAAAAGTTAATGATAACTAGCAATGAAATGGAACAGTTATAACAATAACCAGCGATGAAAGTTGCTTCAAAACTTATCAGTTTAAAAGTTCTAGAACTTTCTATATGATGTGTTTTTTGAACTTCAGCTGATTGTAAGTTACTGAAAATGGGGAAGTGAAATAGCTGGCAAGGGGACTTCTAGAGTACTTCCCAGTGACTGCTTTGTGCACGGAGAGGTGGCCTAGTTTGTACAAATTCTAGAATCAGACTTTCAGGCCCTTTTGATCAGTTGCATGATCCACATGGAAACTGTATTCCTGATCACTGGCTTGAGAATCTGAGAGCATGTCTGTTCTAATTTGGTCAGAAGAACACAGACGTGCTCCCCATCAGAACCTGTCTTTGAGTCTCAGTGCCAAGGCTCAATTGCCGTGCAATGTGGCACCCAAGCTATTCTGGGTCCTGGGTCTCGCTTTCACTCTCTGCAAATTAAGAAGCTGTGGCTCTCTGCAGATAGGCACCTGGCATACAGCAAAACCTCTTCGTGAAGACAGTCCCCACCTCCTTTAGGTTTGCTCTGATTCTTCCTCAGAACTAGTCAGCTTGGGGAGACTGGAGTGTTACTCCAGGCTCCTCCCCTCTCACTGACAGAGTGACTTCCTGTCTTTCACTAGGTCAGGTGTTTGCCAGCAGTTCTCACTACTGGGTTTGAGAGATGAGATCTGACTCCTGACCATGCATTTATAGCAGTGTCTAAGGGGCTTCTGTGTGCAGATGTAAAGAGATCAGTGTGTCCTCCTTGTCTACACGCTAAAAGTGATCTTAGAGGTTATTCTGTTCAATTCTTTAGCTTTAATGCAAAACTATGAGTCCCAGGGAACAACACTAGAGTGATATGTTAACATTTTATGTTGTTCATCTCCAAAACCACTCATTTTTATTCACTCAGGTCTTGATGTTCTTATCGGATACCCAACATCACACAACATTGGAAAGTCTGGAATTCACTTCTCCTTTGGTTACTTTGGTGGGGAGGGTTGGATTTCATTGATTCCGTCTGAGCTAGTGTTTATGGGGACTTTACTTGGTTCCAGATACCTCACAGGATTCTGGAGGTACTGGAGTGGAAAAACACATGGTCCTCGAACTCTGACTGTCCCAGAGATCTCAGTATTCTGGAGGAGGTGCATGGGATGTTGAAGAGCCATGCTGTGTGTGGTATTTATCAGAACCAAAGTCACTTGTGCTGAAAGATGGAAAGAATCCCCACATTTGAAGGGTCCACAGAAGGAAACCTGGGGATTCTAAGCCTCGGGATGTAGAGTTTCTGTTGACTGTCAGTCTTCAGTAGAACAGATGTGTTTGCTTGGGTGATGTCATGCAGATATCAAAAGTGTTGTACACCCTGTGTATGCAAGAGAAATAGAGTGGCTGAGATGCCAGGCTGCTGTCAGCTTCTGCACAAAGAGGCGAAGCAGCTAGAGGAGACAGGAACTAGATGCTTTGGCCTCCTGTTCCTGCGGTGTGTCCTTTTCTCTGGCCAGTTTGCGCACCAGGATGGTCAGAGCATGCAGGGCCCTCACTACCTCTGACAGTGTGACTCCAGACTTCAGCATGATTGTGTGAAGCCAAGAGGCAGCATTAGATTCTCTTGGAAGATACAGCTTAATACTTTATTTTGAATATTCGACTTGCCCCTGTACATACATACACCTCCCATTCAGATTTGAACAGCAGATTTGGGAGAGTGGACTTAAAGAAACAGCAGGCAGAGGTGACGAAAGGGTGCTGGCTTTCAGTGTGACCAGCTCAGGCCTTGTACTTTTGTGCTAAGTCTTGGTAGGATGCATGGGCCTCTCCACTGGCTTGT